AAGGCCCTTCTTTGTGACCGTGCTTTTTCCCGGGCTCTGTGGTGGGTCACGGAGCTGACAAACCAAACCGTGGGCCTCCCAGGGGCGCACACCCTGGTTCTCCGTGTCCTTCCACATGGCCAGCTTGAGTGTTCAAAGACACGAGGCTCAGTAGCAGGCCCACGGGTGACAGCACCGCCTGACCTCGAGGTCCCCACTGCAGCTGCTCTATGTCGGGTTGGGACGCCTTCCAGGAAAATGAGTTTTCATTGCAAAGTTATTCTTGACCTGGAAGACGGGGGGCGCACAGCTGTGCCTCGGGCGTGCGTCAGCGGGAGAACAGGGGACAGGTCTTGTGCTCTGCGGGTGCCGGTCCCCACGGCCCCTCAGGAGGAGCGCCCGGCGCGTCCGAGAGCCCCGCTCACCTCGGGAGCTGAGTGTCTGAAGCCGATCATTAGGAAACGGGCATTTGTCTTCCTTTCCCACCTCAGGCTTCTTCTCTGGGCTCTCTCCCTCCTCTTCTGAGTCCCACGTGCAACTTACCGTGTGGCCAGCACGGCGCCCCCAGCAGGGGCCTGCCTGGCCGGTTCCCTGGCAGCTGAGTGACCGCCAGGTGCGGTGCTGACCCCGTGGGTTCCGGCCAAGCCCAGTGGGAGCGTCACACCCCTGGTGCCCCCCCCACCTGCCCAGTGTCAGCAGCGCCAGACCACTCGGACCGTGGCTGACCCCGTCCGCCTTCCCCTGACACAGTGCCCGTGTTCTCTCCATGTGTCCACTGCAGGGAAAGGCCCAGCCACGAGCACCGTGGGGACCTCGGGGTCAAAAGTCGGCAGCAAGATCCCGACACCCAGGGGGGGCCTGAGGAGAGGCTCGGGCAGGACATTCACAAAGCGGTGACACCGAGGGCACTGAGCCACCTCCCGACCTGACCACACCCCGTCTCCTGAAGGCCACCTCTGGGTGTGGCGACCCTGCACTCCACCCCTGCTGCCCTGGACTCCTGCCACGCTGTCCTCACTGTGGGCGCCCGTGTGGAGCCGAGCCAAGAGCCCGCGTCCAGAGTCCGGCCCTGCCCTCACTGTCGCTCTGGCCATCAGGTTTCCCCCTTTCTTGGGTCTCAGGCCCAGTGTCGGTGCCAGAGCGACGCTCTGTTCGAAGAGGATCCGGAGCCATTGCCCCAGTCGCGCGCTGGCCAGGCGCCACTCACCCCGGGTGCAGGGGCCTGGTGTGAGCACAGCGCCCTCCCTCCGCGGCTTGGAGCGTTTCCCATAAAAACCCCGCTGCGCACCCTTCCTATATCGGTCTCTCTGGCCCGTGGTAGCAGGTCCGCAGGGCACCGAGCCCCGAGCCCCGCAGGGCAGCAGACCCCACATTGTCCACGGCAGGAGAACTAAGGTCAAGACCGCAGCCCTCAGTACGGCCCCCTCGCTCCCCCTGGCCAGATGCTCATGAGGGTCTCTGCCCACCTGGCCCCACCCCTGCTGGCCCCCTCAGGGATCTGGGGTAACACCGGCGGCTCCACGCCAGGCCCCTCCTGGGGTGCTTCCAGTCCTTCACACGCACGAAGCCCTAAAGAACATGCAACGCCCTGCCGCTGACTGCCCTGCGCTCGCCTGGGTGTGTCGGTCACGGCAGACGGAGCAGGCCCAGCACCTGCTCGCCTGCCACCCTGTCCCGCCCAGATCTGAGCTGGAATTAAACTGCAAGTTCACTTTCCTTGAACACTTCGCATGACACTCTAACACCAAAAACCACTTCAAATGATGAAACCAAACCTCCAAATCCAGCCTCCTAACCAGCTCCTGATCCACCATCCCGTCCCGTGGAACTGGTTCAACTTGCTTCACATCCGGGTAGCTGCAGAGAAAAGCCAGCCTGTGTCCGAAACTTGCCGTCCATGCCTGTGGTCCCCAGGGGCCCCCTCCACCAGAGACCGGAGGAAGCTGGCCCTCCCCACCCCACCCCGTGCCCAGAGGTGGGCCTCCCTCCTGAGCGTCACGGGGCTCGGGGACACAAACATGGGGTCGGTGACTCCCAGGCTACACCATTGGTGGATGAGAATCTTTCATTCCCATCCATGTGAAATAACAAAACCTATTTTTTAAAAAATTAATAGCTATTTAAGCAAGGTATTCCCTGGGTATGTTAGTGACCATAAATTTGCACTAATCAATCTCCATTTTTGGTAAAATAGTATCTCTCATATGGTTGACTCAAAACACTGAGCAAGAATGTGACTGACTAAGAATTCCCTTCAAAACTGTACTCAGTTTAAAAGCATGGGGGAGAAGGGAACACTGCACCAGAGCAGAGGACGGACGCCAGAACAGTTACAGAGTGACACTTCCTGGTCTCAGAAAGGTGCTCCTCGATCCTCTAACCCGTTGCTGAGGCAAAGAGAAAACACTTGTTTACATAGAACAATGAGGATAGGTAGCCAAGAAATTATTCTTTTCTCTCCAGTCAGAACTTCCCAGAAATATATACGGTATGTTTTCTATGTATTGTAACTTAAAGAAGATATTTGTAAAAATACTTAATTTTTAGTGATTGACAAACAAAATCGAGTGCACTTAAAGCAGATTAGCCCTGCTGCTTACAGAAGAACCATGTGTTTACGTTCAGATGATTACCGGCAGAGATTAGTGTCTGTTAAAAGCTTTACAGGGTGCAGTACTATTAAGGAACCAGGAATAAAGGGTAAGAAGTGAAAAAGGCCCTGTAAGCTCCCTTGGCCGTTCGTGAATAAATATCTAAACTCGGAACAGTAATTAATAACAAATTTCATTCAGGAATTTGTCATCAATATTTAACACTATTTATTTTTATTATTTATACTTCAAAATATTCTATCAGTCTAACTTAAAAGAACTGTATCTATAAATTTGGCATTAGAATACAAATGTAAATACTCCATGAAAATTTACAGCTTTTTAATGTTTTAACATCATTTTCTATTTGTCTTTATTTCAGGTACCAGAATTATCAAATAAGTAATATATTTTTGCTGTTATTTTAGGGTTTAGGGGTTAATTCACCTGAGCATATTAAAATAATAAAAAGATTACTAAATGTTTTGTCGCTTTTATTTTTAGATCATGATTAAAAAGCAGTTCGTAAATGACATTGGCTTCCGTCAACACGCAGGTGTAGCCCAGGCCGGAAGCGTCAGAGAACTGCTGAGATTTGCTGGGAAAAGGGCAGAAGTCGCTCTGAGAGAGTTTGGTTCCTAAAATAAGATGGGTTTACTGCTGAAGAAGCTAAAAGATTTTAAGCTATCTACAAATTAAACTAGTGACCAGTTTTACCCTGTGGAATAAAATGAGAAGTTTATAAATGCTCTAACTGTGCCCAGGAGAGGTTCACACATTATAGTCCCTCTGCTTTTTCCCCTTTGAGAGCGGGTACTGGTACCTGCCAACAGGGCTGTTTCGTTCCTCAAATGAGTAAAGATACAGTACCTTCTCTGGTTCACAGAGTGGTTTCAAGCTTTTATCAGCTTTAAAGATTTTACGCTTGTTTCCATTTTGAAATTATCATGCAGTGTTCCCTTTACACAAATACGCATGTTAACGTAGCAGCGTTACAGTTAAACGGCAGGAACCAAGCGCAGCGCCGCCGCCGCCTCGCGGCCGACGCACCGAGGCTCCCCGTGTGCGTCGCGCAGC